AAAAAAAAAAAAAAAAAGAATCCAAGCCACCATTTGTCTTGTGCAACCCGGATTGTCTGATTGTTTCCTCATGATTAGATTCAGGTTAAGCATTTTTAGCAAGAATGTTACCTAGGTGATATCCTATACTTCCCATTGCAGCACATCAGGAGGCTCATAATGTCAGTTTATTACATTATTGGTGATGTGAAGTTTGCCTGCTAGATTTCTCCACTGTAAAGGCATGTTTGCCCTTTGTAATTAATTAGTAAACTAGAATGATTCCTTGAGATCACGTGACTATCTTGTTGTCCCACAGTTTTGCACCCAATGGTTTTAGCATCCATTGATGATCCTTTCTGAATCAATTTTTGCATTGGTGGTTGCCAAACATTGGTTTTTCAAATTTTGTCATTTCTTCTAAGTATATTAGCTGGCATTTATCGTTTTCTTTTTTTCTCTTCCTTCTCCTCTTCTTCTTCCTCCTCATCCTCCTTTTTTGCATTTATCTATCTTTAATTTTTTGCTTTTTTTGGGGGGGTATTTATTGTTTTTTACTGGTCTTTAAGAAAGATTTCCCAGCTGTTTATACAATTTCCTTTGCATTTAATAATTGGTCAGATTCAGAACTTTTTTCCTTTAAAATTGAATCTGCCCTTATTCTCGCTACAACACAAACTCCTTTCTTCTCTCTTCCTTGAGTACTATTCTCTGCTGCCTGCCTGTCTGCCTTCTCTTTTCCTTTGCATTATCTTCCACCTTTCTGTAATCTCCTTCATCTCTCCAAATCTCAACTCTCTCACACACTTCCCTCTCCAGTGTCTCTGAGGACATATTCCCAACTAGCTCTGGGATTTCCTTCCACAACGGTTCTAAAATGCTCTTGGGTGTGTTAATGAATGACCGTCAGAAACAGCTTCCAGGCCTTGCTCCAGGGGAAGTCAGATTTCACTGCATGGGGAGGCCCCTTTGGGATCTCACTGAACAGAAACAGCTTAAAATAGAGATCTGCTTGATTCCAGGCCAAAGCAGCAGCTTTTCCACAATTGACAAGTCGTCTGTAAAGTTTACCATGTGAAATCTCACACGTTTTAGAGTTCAAAACTGCAATTGTTTCAGGTGAAAAAGGTGCATTTTATCCCTATTCTCATTACCTAATAGCACAAAAATGCTTTACTCAAACTTTCTACCAAAGATTCCCCTATGACCATCGAGGAAAAAAAGAAACTTAAAAAGAAATGGCTCTTCCAACTTAACTCTAACATTGGTAGAAATCGGTTCATAATTAAAAATATATCCCAGGAGACGAGGTATGGGGGCATACGAACATTCTGTTGATCATCAGAGGGAAGACAGCTTGTCTTTCACGGACTCACAACAAGAGAGCAAAAGAGGGTAATAGAGCAAGGCAGAGTGGATTTGGATCTTGGCAGAGACTAACGAACGGTCAAGAGCACAGGTTCTGGAGTCAGCAGACTGGGATTCAAGTTCTGACTCCACCATTTAATGAGCTCAGTGACCTTGAGGTAAGTCACCTTCCCTCTCTGAGTCTCAATTTTCTCATCAGTAAAAGAGGCAGTATAATAGTGCTCCTCTCATAGAACTGATTCAATGACACGGTGCCCGGCACCAAGTAAACTCTCAATAAATGTTGATTAGAATAACTGTTGTTAACAATTCTGTTTTCCCTTCATCCCAACATTTTGAAAATGATCACCTGTACATTTGAGGATATGAGATGTCCTAGTGTCTTCCTATCAAAAGTTAATATTTTCGTAGTGATTTCCTGGCTGGCTTGTATGATAAAGAAAAAAAACTTTTTGTAATGGAAAACATGTAAAAGAAAACACAGAAAATCTATAACCCTTAAGAATATAAACAATGCCATCTCATTTTCAGGTAAAAGGAAGGCTCTTGGCTGGGTTGCCACATAAACAAGGGTGCTGCTGGGGTGAAGACAACACTGGAGGCAACAGCACTTTCTGCTGAGAACCAGATCCTACCAAGAACGTCCTGGACTTTGAGAACCAACAAGTGTATGTAGGAGGCCTGACTGACGGCCGTGCTGAAATGTGAGACGCTGAAGAAGACAGCTGGCTTAGGGGTTCAGGTCTGCCACCTGTTAGCTGTAAGACCTTGTAGTAAACTCTCTTTGACCCTGTTTCTTGTAAAACGGGAATGCCAATAACCTGCCTGTTTAACACTGATGCAATCAGACTATCTAATTTCATATATTTCATTTATCATATTCAATTTTCCCCAGTATCCTGGTAATGTCCCTTATAGGCTTTTCTTTTCTGACCCAGATCCAATCAAGGATCATATTTTGCATTTAGTTGTTATGTCTCTTTATTGTCCTTTCATGTAGAACAGTCCCCTCACCTTTGTGTGTAGCTTCATTACATTGATATTTCAGAAGCATTCAGGCCATTTGTCTTGTGGAATATTGTGAGGATGAAATCAGATAACAATACTTTTAAAAGCTGTGCTGTTGAGCCAGTGAGGCACAGTGGTTAAGAACTTGGACTACAGAGCTCAATTTTTCTGGGTTCAAATCCCAGGTCTCTCTCTTATTAGCTGTATAACCTTAGTCAAATTACTATATCTTTCTGTGCCTTAATCTTATCTATAAAATGGGGATAATAGGGCCGGCCCCGTGGCTTGGCGGTTAAGTGCGTGCACGCCGCTGCTGGCGGCCCGGGGTTCGGATCCCGGGTGCGCACCGAAGCACCACTTCTCCGGCCACGTTGAGGCCGCGTCCCACATACAGCAACTAGAAGGATGTGCAGCTATGACATACAACTATCTACTGGGGCTTTCGGGGAAAAAAAAATAAAATTATAAAAAAAAATTGGGGATAATAATGGTACCTACCCACCACTGTGGAGATTAAATATGTTAATATATGTAAAGTGTTCATGCCAGTCTCTATACAGTAAGTGCTCATGCACTGTTAGTTACTATAGAAGGCAAATTCTTGTTGTGGGATCTGAGTTTCAAAATTTGTGTCTTAGAAAAAAAATTCACTCATTTAATTATAAATGATATTTTTCAGTGCTTACTAAATGTCTACAATTATGCCAGCTGCTGCAGTAAGAATCAAAAAAATAGTTCCTGAATGGAAAAAGAAGTTTAAGATATCTCCGATCTCAAACAGTGTGAAATTACTAAAATATGTGAAATAATCAAGGCAGAGTTAAGTGCCACTAACCTGAATTAGCATGAAGTTCATGCTGATAGAAGAGAGAAGGAAGTGGTCTGTGTTGACTGAAATAGCTGAAGAAGAATGGATAAAAATTGACTAGTCAGAGAAGAGGAGACTGGCATTACTCAGGCAGACAGACCACTTGAGCAAAGGAGTAATAGGGGGGTGAAAAGGTGAGGGTAGTGGGAACTGAGAACAGGGGCAGGGGACCAGATTATGAGTGGCTTAAAATCCAAGTATAAAAAGCCAGGTCTTCATGCAGGAAGTAAAGGGGAGCCATTTTAGGTTCTAGAGAATGTCGTCTTAGCCAAATAGAGAAAAACTGGGGACTCAGGCTGAGCAAAAACAACGCCAAAGTGTAAGACTACTTTGTCTTTCACCTGAAGGATGTCACGTACTCGTATGAATGTTCATTTAAAGGTGGGGGTGTTAAGCAATAGACGTGACATTCCACCCAGAGACATGCCACCTGGAAATCAGGAGCTCGGGCCCACGCACCAAGTCCTTGATGCCTAATCCCAGTCTAGAATTTTACTGTTAAGCAAGTTTAGCAAATTATCAGGAGCTCGCTCACTGGATTGTTATTATACTGGGGACTGGGGCCTCGTCTCACTGAGAAAAAGGATGGGAAAGGGTGAGAAAGTGAAAGGAAGGGGAGAGAGGTGCGGAAGAGGATAGTGCGAGCCGCACCTCTCGGGTCCAGGCGGTACGGGCCCGGGGTCGGGGGTCGGGCGACCCTTAGGGGCCCCCCGGGGCCCGCGCCT